ATAGAAATGGAATTACCTCCTCCATTCGGAAGGAATGGAAAATGTAGACGTAGTCTCCTGGACGTCCAACAAATCTAGGGCACAATGGTTACAAACATCAGATGGATTTCATACTTCTAATGTTTGATTCCTAAAGTAATTGATGTCATTCYCCATGCCTTTGCGGGGGACCTCCTAATGTTTAGCCCTGAAAAGGCCTCCAAAAAGCTGAAACCCTGAACATCCCTTTCACCACTCACCGGCCTTTGAAGAAAGCCACGTAGAAAATGGGGGTGTAGGCATTGACAAATTTCAGCAGGAAAGCCTTGAAAATCAGCCTCTCCTCGAAGTTCTTGTCGGTCTTTGGCACCTCTGGAACCAATGGGACATGGGTAAGAAATGTTAAGGAATTATCCTAGCTGGAAACATTTCAAAGTCTTATAAATGTGGGTTTTGGAAAGCATCAGCCACCTTTTGAACAAAGGGGTATATGTGTATAATGATATATGTATTTATACACATATTTTTATATATAAATAAAAGCAGTATGGCTGCACTGAGGTCTGTGGTCAGCCTGCTGAGTGAGGATTCCATCAGTCAGTCATGTTACAACAGCAATTCCRGTTTCATTCCACATCTGCCTGACCTTCACGACATTCATTTGGAGATGGGCAAAAAATTAACCTGAAATAATTTCTGCACCTTTTGCTCCTGATAATTTTTAGAAACGATTTTTTTTTTAAATGTCCTACAGCGGCATTTTAACCACAAATTTGAACACCCTTGGCTTTGCTCATGAGCCCCAGTCATTTTTGGTGCTGTGATTCCATCCCTCCCGGCGGGGTGAGGGTCCCAACGCACCGATCTGCGTGAGCCAGCGGGCGATGCAGCCGTACACCTCGTCCAGGATGATGATCACCACCAGGTTGATGATGACGGCGGTGGCGGTGACGGTGACGCGGACGCTGGAGCGCCCTGAGGGCGTGGAGCTGATGGCCAGGGCTGCAGCCGTGGAGATCCTGTAGATGATCACCCCAAACACGATGGCGAACGTCAGCCCAACCTGGAGGGAAGAACAGCCCAACATTTACCCACAAATGCTTTGTTTGGGATTTAGAAATGACCTTAAAAATGGGGCCACACCCCAAGCCCACCCAGTTCTGCATTAAGGGTCCCAAATGCTTTGATMGACTGTAGGAAAAGATCCTTTCTCRTAACTTGAAAATCACAYGAAAAAAAGTGACACAATGATGCCACAATCAAAGGCAAAAGGCTTTTTTTTTTCCAAAGGAACCTAAATGTAAACTCCTTGTTCAGCAGTATTAAAAAATACTAATTTACTAAYAAATAACTTCTAAAATACTGTATATTACTAATGAATATAAGTAATAGTTGTCATCAATATAAACACTAATATTRAAAGTATGAGTGGGCTTGCTTTCAGCCCTGCCACCGTCACATGGTGTTTCCTCTGTGACAAAAACCCCTGTGTTTGAATCAAACAGGACCATTTCAGCTTCACTCCACACACCAGCCCTCAAATCCCTCACCTAGGCTCGCTGCATTTCCATAATCACAAACTTAAATTAAACCTGTTTAAATCAACACAATTCCTTGGAGAGGAAAACCCTTCTCAATTTTTCATTGCTTAAATAAGGGGACAATTTCAAAACATGATTCTTAAAAGGTACTGATTCTTCAGCTGACACTATGAGATTTGCTGCATTTCTGCTCTCTGAAAATACAGATGTTTAAAAAACCCAAGCCTAGACCAAAATCTCCACCCCAAATTAATTGATTTAGATGGGTGAATTCTACCTTTGGAATGGGCTTAAGCTTTTTTTTTATCTGTCTACCAATCTGCCCCATGACTTGAATTATTATTACTTCTGTCAACAGTAGTTTTAAACGCTGATGCTTTATCAGCAAATGGAAGATGGTTGTTCTCATCATTATTTTACTTTCTTCTTGAATTAAGTGCTCTGTTTGCAATTCTCCTGTTAGATGGTATAGCTCCAAATTTGATTTATTAAAAATCCTTGCAATTACGATTGCAATTGGCAGTGTCATTTCTTTCAAGAAATTTGAAGATAAAAATGATGTTATTCTTTAWTTCCTGACCACTTTCTGAGAGGGCTCTCTGTGCATTTTAAGTTTTATCCCATTAGTGGTGGTGGCAATTTCCATTTCTGTGCCCTCTTTTTCCCCTACYCTATTTTAGTGTTCTTTTTTTCTGTATTGGAAAGAGACATCAAAGCAGAAATTCAAGCTCTTGAAAAGTTTTTTAGGTTACAAACCAATCAAATGCTTGAATTTTTTCACTGGGAAAAAGCCATTGTGAACCACATCCACCTGTTGAAGTTTCTATCACTCCTCTTCCATACAATGACTCAGTAACAAAAACATCAGGTGATGCTTACCATGAAGATGATGCCAACAAAATTGGTTAAATAGGCTGGAAAACGGTCCTTCCATGTCAGCTTCTCTTTATCTGTCTGAAATTTTTTGGGAGGGAAAAAACAAAGGCATATTTAATAAAGAAGGAAGGTGTGATTTTGCAGATGTGATGGAAACAGAGAGGGGGAAGAAAAGGCTGGCAAACCCACAACCAGACAGGAGATGCAGACACAGTGTTTACAGGCACAATTCCACACCAAATTGTTTACTCCSTACCCAGGCTCAGGCCGGGATTTTTCTGTGTACTTTCTGAAGGAAACATGTAAATAGGCTGTCAGAAACCATGAAGTAAGGTCTCTTTTGCTGTTAAATATTTTCTTTTGCTTTCCCTAGAAAAATCCCCCTCCTTCCTCTCTTCCTCCACAGTGAATATTTGCAGCTCTGCTGTTGCTCAACTGGCTCCACTGAAATACAGATTTAAGGATTAAATTAATTCAYGCTACAGAGTAACTCCAAGGTGAACACACAATTAACAAGATTTAGTTAAGTGTGGTAAGGCTTGAAATTCCTTTGATTTGAGCGATTTTTCATTTTACCTGGATAATTCCATGGTACTAACAGGAACTATGGGAGTTGGAATGAGATGATCTTTAAGGTCCCTTCCAACCCAAACCATCTTGTGATTTTCTATGTAACAAGTCTGGGAATTCTCTGAATTCCCTAAATCCAGTCAATCAGCCCTGCCGGAATTCAGCCACAATTAATTTAGAAGAGCGTTGCTCCTCTGGAGTCCTTCACAAACTTTGATGCCCGGAATTGTTTTGAAACACCAGAAACAAAAGGAACATTGCAGAAGATAAAGCACACTTTGTAATGGACATAAAAATATTGCTCGAATTCTATTTTTATGGCATGCAGGTTGTCTCAGGAAGTGCAAGCAACTCTTTCAACACGTGGCCCATGCTCCACTGCAAAACAGAACATCCAGGATGGGAAATCTAAGGTTAGCCATGCAGTGCCATTCCCAGGTCATGSAACAGCATCCCAAAAAGTGCTGAAGGGACAATGGGAGGGAGGGGAAGAAACCCAGAACTGAATGTGAATATTAAACAAAGGTTCAACAGCCAAAAATAAATTGATTTGTGTCTTCCATAATTACTCATAATTTGAGTTTCTTCATAAGTTTGAATAAAAAGAACCAATTTCACCCCAGCCATGACTGTCTTAACTCTTTGTCTCCATTTGTTTGCTGTCTCTTCTGGAAAATATCGGTGCTTCTGATGGCAGTCAAAGGAAACAGAAAAGGGTYGGGCAACATGGCATTACAAAGCACTGCTCAATTAATTCCATTAATTAATTCCATGTTCTCTACTAACACAGCACTTCAGCACAAATGAAGTTAGTTTCCTTAAGGCTCTGTGTCTCAGCTTTAAGTTAATAAAACATAACAGCAAYAGAAGACAAACATTTGCCCCAAATCCTGGGGAACATCAGGCAATCCTGCAAAGGATATTTCCTTTTTCATACAGCATTGTGTTCTGCTTGCTCTTTTACAAAGTATAAAGAATGTCCAAAATTTGTTKTTCTTAAATTTCTTTTTAAAAAAATTGGACTGCTCTTGCAAAAATGATAAGCAATTTGGGTTTAGCTTTAGATATTTTTTCTTTAAGAGGGGTTCCAAGTTGTCTTACAACTGTTGAATTTGAACTTTAACACACTAGATTCCAATGAAAGATAACCACCAAGTCTTTCAGAAAAAAAACCTCCTTTTCTCACGTTTCCCAAATTAGTAACATCCAAATTGAACACAGCCCAAAAACTTATAAATAGTCTGGTTAAACAAAAAAAAAAAATCCTCTCTTAATTGCTCAACTTTCATTCTCCAGTATTTGAGGGCCACCATTCATTAATTGTCTGAATAATCTTGCACATTTAAGGCCCGAATTCTGATTATACTCAAAAGTACAGCGAGTTACAGGTTTTTAGCAGAATACAGTAAAATCTGTATTCAAAATCATTTACCCAGCATATCATAGAGCAGCAACCCCAACTGTTTCTCTCCCATAAGGGATTTGAAAGGGATTTGATTTGCATCTGGCCCTGAACCCCTTACACACAGCACCCTGTGGATCAGTGGGACGGCACCACCAGCCCCTCTGCAGCATCTTTTGAGAGGGGCCCAGCAGTACTCAGGTATAAATTTATTTTAACACCCATCTAGAAGTGCTGCCCCAATGAGTGTATCATGCAGATGTTATTGCAGTTGTGCTTTCACAGGGTTGGCACAAAATCCCAATTTAGGGAATGGTTCCATGTTATGGTGTCGCTGGCAGGAGAGAAAATCCTCCYGATGGGTTTGGTTTTGTGCTGGAGCTTTCACCTCTCTCATGAAAACCACAGCACACAAATGGCTCAGTTCTCACAGCTGAGAGGGAATAACCCCAGGCAGGACAGGCATCAGTGTGCAGTGAGAAAAGGAGTTCCCCAAATCTTCCTGCTGCTGACAGGAAAGGAGTTACAGCTCCAGTGAAAGGGCAGGGAAGCTGTTCTTAGGGAATGCAAAGAGGAAGGTGCTCCTGGGACASCTGGCAGCACCTTTCTCAAGAGCAGGTTAAAAGCACCAGTGAGCACGGCCTCGTTCAGCAGGATACAAGAGAAGTTGTGTTTTTAGAAGGCAGAAAGTTATTGCCAAAGCTGGAATTCTGTGTGGAAATTACACAGGGTTAATACTCTTCATTAATATTTTTATTAGCAGAGAAAGTCCAGCAAGACAGAGAACTTTTCCTGAGAGAAGGTGCTTAATTACTTTTAGGTGCTTTTATTGCGCAGAACAAGATGGTTTGTTACCGTTTCCTCAAACTTGATTTATGGCAGTTTACCCAAACTCAATTTATTGTGTAACAGCAGCACCTCTTTGATGAGGCCCAATTAGCTTCACTAAGCCACAATCCTGGATCTAATTAGTAAAGGCACTTCTAGATTTAATCAGGTCTGGTGCCTGGCACACCCCGAGCATCCCACCTGGAATTTGAGCACAGGGAGCAGTGACTATTTTTTACCTATTCCTTAGTCTTGGGTCACTACCTGCTGTAACACCCTTCTTTGTCATGAGGGAAACAAATGAATATTTTTACCATACCTCTTTGTGTTTGTGTTCTTTTCTCAGTGATTTTTCTAAAACCTTCGCTTCATATTCTGCTCTTGGATGATCCTGTGAAAGAAGTCGTATTTAATAAAAAAAGCAACATTACTTATTTTCTCTATTAGCTACAGATGAACTCTCTGCAGGTCGATTTCCTGATAATTTTTGCGTTTTCTAACTGAATTCCAATTCACTTGGTATGTCACTCATGTCAGTTGATAGCTGACCATAATTTAAAAAATGTCAAATCCTGTGTCTCCAGCAGCAGCTGCAGAATGATTTGGACAGCCATGTGCAGTGCTGTGTAGATTAAATTTAATATATGAGACATGCAGCACAACCTGCAGACAGCATGGATTTTAATGACATCTATTTTGGATAAAAATTAAATKCCATTAACGAATTTTAGTGATGCTCAGCTCATGAGTGGATTAATTTTCTGCCGTAAGGATGCAAAATACTTGGCTTTGGGATCCCATAAAATTGTCAGTTGGGGTGTTCCCCTAATTCTGTCCAGGACAGCATCCAGAGATTCTCCMTCTGCACCACAGGAGAAGGTGCAGGAAACACTTGGAAGTAAGAGACAGCCAAAAGATTCAGGAAGATTCATGGATTCGAATTCCCGATAATTACGCATTCATAGATGAGTCAGAATTTAAAATTATGCATTGAATGGGAAACAGAACAGAGCTGAAAAAAGTCTGAACAAGTGGAGAGGGGAAGGGTGTAAAGGCAAAGCAATCAGTGGGAGTTCTAAAGAAAATCTGATGCTCGAAAAAGGAGAAATGGAGGTCAAAAGATGGCATTCATCAGTAGAYATGGAATAAAAAAGGTAGGAGCAATTTGAAAAAAAAAAAAATGTTTTCCAAACCTTGACTGCCTCCTTCAGGAAACCAGAAAAAACCCACGAAAAACAAGAAAAAAACAAAAAACAAATAAACAAAAATTTGATTACTGAACTGTTGCAGGTCATGTTGTATTTATATATAAAAATTACATAAACATAGGTACAGTGGATGGTTAGACACTACCAGAGGAAAAACACTCTATTCATGTTCTACATCAATTAACATTGTTGCAAGCATGGTATGAACCAGGCATCCCTAAAAACACCAGAGGATGAGTTGCTTCAGGCTTTCATATTTCACCTGAAACCTCAATTCTTCAACGTCATTCTAGCTTAATGGGAAAATCTTAAATGCTAAAATAGGAACAGGAGCATCTTAAATTCTAGAAATAAGAATAGGACAATCTTAAACTCTGCGCTAAACCTGTGACTGTGTTATTTACCACWGCCCACCCAAAACACGGAATAAAACACACAGAATTGACAGCTGCTGGTTTGGCTGTGCAGAGCTCTGAGCTCAGCCAGGAAGGGAACAGACACTGGAAAAATACACTTAATCCTCCCTGCTTTCATGTTTGCTAACAAGTTACCAAAAATAAAGGAGCCTATAGCGCCCAGGAAATCAATCCCTGTGTTCTCTCCCGGTGAATAGGCGGAGAGCAGCACAGAGGCTGCTGGCACAGGACACCTCCATCAGCTGGGGAGGGATAAATGTATTTAGGGGAGATAATTCTGAATAAAGAAAGGYTTTGGGGTGAGGGGCTGTGCCGGGCTCTGGGGGCTGTGGGGTGTTAAACCCAGGGCTGGTGGGGTTTGGGGTTCACGTGAGCAGCACTCGTGGTGAATCCATTTGGGGCATTTGGAGATGTGACCAAGAGGTCACAGTTCTTTTAACAAGAGCAACAGGCGAGGCTGGGGGCTGGGGCTCTGCTCCACCAATGTGCCTCCTTTATTCTTTGTAAAGCAGCAAAATTGAAACCAAAAAGATGGGGAACAGCTTCTCAGCTGGCTGAGGATTTCCTTTCATTTCCTTCTAAAACTTCCACTGATTTTGAAGAACTCTTGTCATACAGATTTGGCCCTTTTCTCCTTTATGCTCTTCAGCAGCTTTAGCATAAACCTGGCCAAGGATATTACTCCACCACCTCCACACTGTGTCCCTCCCCATGCCTCAAGCCCACGCCTGGCAATGTTTTCTGAGGTATTTTCCAAGTTGGGGCTTGATCCTGCATCATTAAAGTTAACAGGAATTTTTCAGTGCTTTTTTTTTTACAGCGCTGTAACTTTATCAGCTTCAATGGCCTCATTTCTGATTTACAGCAGTGTGTGATGAATGAGGCCCTTGGCTCTTGGCAGCCTGACTTCAACCCAGCAAAAGGTCTGAGCTGTACATTCCATGCCTACACTGCTAGGTGTGACCCCAACTATTAAAAAAAAAAAAAAAAAATTGTGGCTATACAATTATGCTTCCATGGCAACAGGACCGGACTAGTCATGCCCTTGCTACAAAATCCTCAAATAGCTCATGTGCAGGGATTTTCCTTCCTTCTAAAGGACGGAACCATCCCAAGAACATGAGGCAAAGTCTGTCAGGGCAGGGCAGCAGCAGGGTGGAGGGCAAAGAGTCAGAACTGAAGTGACAAACCTCCTCCTCTTCAAACCCAGTCAGGTCCCACCTGTAGTTGAGGCGCATCTGTTTTCTCTTCCAGTGCTCCATAAAGGTGGCAGCTGAAACAACAGTTGGACAGACAATATGTATTACTACCTAAATTCAGTTTTGTGTTTGCTTTCATTCAAAAGCCATGTCTGGCTGGGAAACCCTGATGTGCCAGGAGCCAAATGTTCTGTCCAGGTAAGCTAAAAAAAAAGGAATTTGTTACATCCACAGCTTCCTGTAAGAAGACAGCAGCAATTGTTAAGGGGTCTAAAAAAGTCAAGAACGCAAATTTATTTAAATATTTGTACGTGTGACTGATGATATTCTGCATATCATTTCATCTGTAAGTCCAAAAGAAACCCGAGTGTTATCTGTACAAAATAGGAATGATTTCACTTGCACTGATGGTGAAGTGACTCACTCAAAGCTATCAAGGTAAAATATTTTTATATCATTTATATCACATCCATCTAGTGGCCAAAGCAGCATGGTTGGCTCTAATCATCACACCCAACCCCAAACCCTCTTGTGAAAGCTGCACGGGGACAGTGAAGCCTTTAAGGGTTTTAATCATTAAAAACCCAACCATTTCCTTTTTGACAGAGAAGGCTTGGAGAAAAAAAAAAGAAGAACCCTGGTTTGAGCAATTCTTGAGTCCCAATGAATGGTCCCAGCCTATATCAGTCCATCTGCCCTGAGACCGGGCGAGTTCTCAGAGGACAGATTTGGATGCTGGGAATACACCAGCGCTGGACAATAAATAAGTGATTATGAAAGAGGAGAGTCTACCAAGAAATGGCGCTCCCAGGGGAGCTTCCCGCAGTGAGTATTAACAGATGTGCTCAGAAACGTTCCTGTCCAGCACAAACACAGGCAGGGACAGGGTAACAGAGTTGAACTGAGAGGACAGGACACCCTCATGGCCGGGGCCACGACATTCATTCGCCTTCCAAGAGAAACTCTCACATGGAAAAGCTCCAGCCGAGCCCCTGCAGAGGCCACGGGCTCCCTGAGGATCAGCATGGCCACAGCTGGGGCTGAGAGGATCCCTGCTGGAATTGGGGCTGGAATTGCCTCCCCCCTGCTCACCACCGGGAATTCTCACGCCAGGGGCTGCAGCTTCCATTTACAGGCAGAAACAGGGAAAATGGACAAGGGGCTACTGGAAATGCCCCCGTGGCACTGATTTACAGCAGGGCACGGGCACAGGACAGGGTCTGGAGAGMTGGGCTGTTTCAGGAGCCTTAGGGGGAACTGCCAGGGAAGTGCCACACTTGACTCTCCACGAGAGAATTGGACCATTTAAAACCCCTGACACTGCRTCCAGCCTTGGGGTGTTTCACATTTTTCYCTCTGTGCTGCATGGCAYAATGATGATCCATGACACAGCAACCCCTCCTCTGTGCTGTGAGCCCGGCTGAGCTCARCCTCCCCTCAACACTTCACAGCTTTCCCTCCAAACCTGCACTCCAGCCCTGCCACCAGCACTGGCGCTTTCCTATTTCAACTGCAGGTGAATTTAATAACACAAATTCAAAACTACGTGGAGAAAGTTGTTTTCCAGTTGAAGAAGACCTCTTTGAAACATTTATGTGGTGTTGTACATTGAGAAAACTTTATATTGAGAGCTTGAGGAGTTCCACATCCCACTCAAAACCCTCTCAGATTTCATACAGAGCCCAGACYCTGCTCCTGCCAATCTGCCTAACTCTGCACAAGAGTGTGAAAAAATGGAGGAGGGGACCCAAAGCTGTTTCCTGTGGAAAAGGATGCAAACTGTTCCTTTTTGGACAACAGGACAACATGCCAAGACCATGTGGGCCTCACAGAAATGGGAAATGAGGGAGACCAAGGCTGACACTTGACTCTCCACATGAGAGAATTGGACCATTTAAAACCCCTGACACTGYRTCCAGCCTTGGGGTGTTTCACATTTTTCCYTCTGTGCTGCRTGGCAYGATGATGATCCATGRCACAGCAACCCCTCCTCTGTGCTGCACCCCACTGCTCCCCAAATGCCTCTGCCCTTGTCCTTCTCCTTGGGGTACATTCATCGTGAACTCTCTGTGCTGCATCTAAAACAGCATTATCCCAAACACAGACCTTGGCCAAAACCTGAAATCAAATTGAGTTATGTTGAATTGRACTTAAATCAGTTCAGATGAATGGTGCTGTACAAACAGTTCCCTGTGCACTGGAACAGATGAAAACTCAGGGTAGAATATGGGGATGAAATACAACCCAGAACAGGTTATTATGTTAATCCAAACCCAAGTGCACAGCAAGGCTTGTGCTGCTCTCAYTGCTGCTGTGGCCATCACAGTTCCTCTCCCCCAGAGCCCATTCCTGGAGCAAGGAGGTTCCCCATCCCTCCTCAAGAGGAAAAGCCCTCCACAGCCATTCCTGAAGAYATCCTCACCAGGATCTCATGAGAGGGTTCTTATTTTGACTCAAATTCCAGAGACATGCCCAGAAAGGCCACGTGATGTGCTCAAAGCACGAGGGCAGCAATGGGATCAGGAAAAATCCCTCTCCACCACTGCTGCCTCCTGCCAGTCCCCTTGCACGACATCTGCCTGCTGCCAAACCTGGTGAGCACACTCAGGAATCAATGTTGGTTTGTCCCAAAGACACTGAAGGCCATTACACTTCCCCAGGAGCCCTCCCCTCARCCCCAGAGTACATTTCTTCTCTAATGTTCTAAAGTGGAAGCTGGCTCTGCAAAGAGATTTTTTTTTTGTTTTTGGCAAGCTGTGCAATCCCGTTAATGAAATTTTGACACACCACGCAGCGGTTTTATGACAGATGCTTAACAATTTCATTTGCTATTCAGCTTGAGCAACTTTTTGAATTTTAGTCTCCAGTCCAGACTATAAATTTGGGTGTGACAGTTCCATGGGAAAAAAAAAAAAAAAAAAAAAAAGGAGGAAGGGAAAAAAAAAGAGAAAAGTTCTTTGTATCATTAACTGTCTCTGTATAAATACACTGTTTTATCTCCTCTGTTTCTTCCTGTTGTGTTTTAAATAATTAAAAGCTGAACATGAAGGCACAGAGCTCTTACCCCAGAGAGCCATGAAGACTGAGAAGAAGACGGTGGCAGGGTTATCGAACAGATGGCTGGCGCGGGCGGTGGCACACGCAGAGCTCATCTTCCAGTAGCTGCAGGTTTTGTCACACAGGGGACACATGGTGATGTTGTTCCTCTGGTCACACATCTCCATGCTGCAACACAGACACCACATGGGGGGTCAGCACGCTCAGGGTGGCTCCAGCTCCCTGCTCTGGGGAATTTTGCTCTGTTGGATACGATCCTACACTGCTACAGGGGATGAAACCCTCATGTGAAGCTGCCTCCCTCCCTCCTATTCCCAGCAATAGGAGGGAACATTAATAAAGATATAAAGCTCTACACTTCCTTCTCTAAGATCTTAGAGAATAAAATCAAATAAAAATAAAATSAAACGTTTTTGCTTTGAAAYACAAACTGCAGCAACAGATAAGGTACAAGGGAAGCGCTGAACATCAAGAGACTGGAGTTCAACCAATTTATCTCCTCTGTGCTCCATCTGTGGAACAGCAACACTGACCCTCCCTTTGACTTTCTTCAACTGTTGGAAGCAGTACAAAGCAATCTTAATGAAGAAAAAGAATTTAAATCTATTTTTCAGTATYCATTATCTGCTTTGTTATTCAGGGCTGGTGCTTGCTGTTCAAGCCATGTAATTTGCATTTCCAGCTGATGATGCGTGCAGGGCAAATAATGCAAAATCAGAGGGCTGGAAAAAACGTTTTAATACAAAACTTGCTAAAAGATTAAAAGTAGGAGGACGTCCAGGTTTTGTTGATGTGATCAGAGTTGCTCATTTGAGGGATGCATATTCCTGATGCCTCTCTGTGTCCCACAATGGCCTCCTGAGCATTYTGTGCTGGGAAGCACCAAACCCCATCATTAGCAGAATTTTGATGKYTTGTTTGAACAGAATKATCTCAGTTAGGGAAAAAAMAAAAAMCCAACCACCTGAGCAGYGGGCCAAGAATTATTTTTAGGCCATCAGTGCAAACTCCCTAAGTCATACTAATGATGAATGCTAACGAGACAGAGAGGGGCTGCTCCGTGCCCTTGGAGAGCCGTGGCTTATGGCAAACAGGATCAGTGGGCTGTGGAGGTGGATTCATTTTAGGCACAGCTTCTAAAGGATGAAATGTGAGGATGGAGAGTTTCAGGAGCACGCTGTCCTCCAGCAAGAGCTGGGGAGAACAGACAGACCCCAGGATCAGGGATTGGGGTGTCAGGATGGGCCTGGCATGGAGCAAGCCCCAGGAACAAGAACCCCCAATTTCAGCCTCAATATTCCTGAAAAAACATTCCTAAAGAAATGTTCAGCAGCTCTGAGCTTCTGGGCCCTCCTGCAACAGAATCCATTTATTTATCCATTTTACCTGGGTATATTCTCATCCACAGTTGCACAGCCATAGAGGAAAACGATTATCCCTACGATTGAAGCTGGAATGAGCATTTGTGTATAAACTCCCAGCCAGGCAAAATACAGCCCGATCTTCTCTCCAAAATATTTTCTGAAATACATTTAGAAAAAAAAAAGAAAAAGAAATGAGAGAGAAATATTTCCTATTTCTTAAAATATAACGTGGCTAAAATTATGAATCACATCTGGATTAGGCATGGAGAAAGTAAGAACTGATGACCTGTGGGAATTTTTTTTTCTTCTCAGAGGACTCTCTTTCTCATGATGCTTGAAGACCATCCAGAGATAGATACAGGCACCCTGAAAAYAAGCTTTGTGGGGGGACATATTTGGTCATATTTTGGCCGTATTTTCACCCACTATGCAGACCAGTATGTTTGGACCTTCTGTGAGTGAATCCTCTTATAAAACCACCCCATTTCCTTCAGGGAGTCTCAGGTCTCACCCTGAGCAAACAAAATTTATTAAAAACATGTCCCCTGCAAGCTTTCACCCTGGGTGGGATAGACAAAACTCTCTAAACCCACAAAGAACTCCTTTTCCCCAGCAAATTTCATATTGTCTGGAATCACCCCATGGGCATCCCCGCAGAGCTGAAAGCCAGGGCTGAGCTCTCACCTCACCAGGTCGATGGGCTGGTACTTGTAAAACACTCCATAGCTYGCCCACTCCTCACACAGGAGCTGGAAAACACAAAGGCAAGAGCAGGGTGAGAGGCTGCATTTAAGGGCTTTTTTGTTTTTGGCTTTAAACCACGAGAAGCCAATGATTTCTACTCTTCCTTTTTGTCAGGATATGGGCCAAGGAAAACARTGAACCCCRTTACTGATGGGCAAAATCGAATCCCTCACAAAAATAGGTTCCTCTGAGACCTTCAGCTYACCCTTTATTTTGTAAAATACAGAAATRGTGCTTYTCAAACCTGATTTTTTTCCTTCATTCAATTCAGAGTGAACAAGRAACCAGACTCAATGGGGAACCAGGACCGAGAGCAGGATCAGTACGGGGAGGGTGACAGATGAATCTTGTTCCTGGACCAAACAGGATGATGTTCCCTGAACTTCATCCCATTTCATCATGGGAAACTTGACAGCTGTCAAACTCCTACACATCCCCAGGAAAATGCAGAAAAGAAGAGAAGGGCAGACCAGAGACCGTTCCTCCTGCTCCACTTCACCACAGAGAAGCCCCACAGCAAACAACATTTCTGAAGCAATTTGGGAATTCTTCTGCCAAACCTYGAGCACAGACTTTCCAGCTGAACTGCTGTACTTCTTACCAAATAGTTCAAGCCATTAAAAAAAAATGCAACTTTTCAGCTTTTCCAGAAATGTGATGTCAAAAATATAAGTGGGCTGTGGGTTTTCCCCTCTGCAATCCAAAATCATTAATCATTATTAGTTTCCTTAAAACAGTAAGAGCAGGAACTGGAACCTACCAGCAGGCCTTTATTAAGCAGCAACATTCTGGCAAATTTTATTTTTATTCTGCTTGAGGTTTCTTTCAACCACATTTCCCCCAAAGTTTAAGGGAAACTGCTTATGTCTGGGAAGCAATGATTTGGGACACCTCAATATCCAAGTGCAGCACGAGCTAAGCCACTTCCTTTTATTTACTTTCTTAAATTTCATTTTTAAAACAAAGTTTGTGCTGGAAATTGGATTTATTTTCTGTGATCTAAGTTGGTCAGGCACATCAGGAAAACACTAAGCTGAGGAGATTTTGCATCAGTGCCATGTTTTAGTTTTGTGCAACTCGAAACCAGATTTGTGCCTAAAGTACAAATGAATTATCTCATTTATCCTGACATTTATCAGCCTGATATTCAAAGCACAGCTTCAAAGACATGATTAGAGGAGATCAGCACACTAGACCTAAATATTTACTTCATTTCTATGCCTCAAATCTTTAATTTTCCTTTTAAAAAAGGCACAGGCCTAGCCCAGCACTGGATAAGATTAAAGAAAGCTTCAAGAAACCAGAAGAGACATGCCAAAATACACCAAAAGATTATTTGATGGAACTGAAAGTCAGAAGCCAATGTAAACACTTCCAAACACACCATGAACTCATGAAATTAGTGAATTTGTGAGGTTTGAAATGTTAGTAATGAAGAAGATAATCTAGACACTTCCAGAAACATGGACTTTCATGCTATTTTTAGTTGAGCRATGCGTAGCTTAATAATAAAAAGACAGATAAGTGGTATTTTTAACACAAATCAATGCAGGGAGGGAAGTAACATCCACTGCCTTTTGATGAGCCATTTGCACCTCAAGTACCAGCAGGCTGTCAATTTTGGGTACCTATTTTTATATATCAAGCCTGAAGGTGTTTCAATCTGCTTTTCCTACGACCTGAATGTCCAGAGCATTTCTTTGGAGGAAAAAAAATAATGAAAGAAACAGGGAAGGCAGAATCTCAGCTCTGAAAGCCCAGCATATGTAACTCCCAAATTTAGTAGCTCCTGAGAGAGCTGGGTGTCACCTGTGCAGTTTTTGCACAGACAAAAGCCACCCCTCTCTGGGGAGGGGTGATGGGGAGGGTGCAGTAACTGAGCTTTGAATTYTAGAAATCAGCATTTCTGCAAAGGCTGAAAAATTTGGGTTTTTCTCATATTTCCTCAGTATAAAGTGCTACTTCCTATTTCCTTAGGAAAAGTACCTGCTTAGAATAATTTCTACCTGTTTTACAACAGCAGACAATAAAAGCACAATTGAAAGCCTTCACTCCAGCAAAAAGTGATGCAATGCCTCAGTGTACATCCACAGGGCACCCGTTAAAGCATTGCTGAGAGCCTCTTATTCCTGATAAATATTGAATGTTTATCTTTCCCATTTATCTTTCCCCTTTATCTTTCCCATTTATCCTTTCCAATCACTTTCACGCTTTTGTTTGCAACTGCCTCTCCCTCTCACTCCTCCAATTCTGAACCTCACGCCAGCGAATGAAACAGGATTTATGACCAACASAGACAACAGAATATGACTGAGCATATTCTCATCAGAGCTGGCCTGAAATGCCATCACCTGAATTTTAGGAGGAGTTATAGGTCAATATTCTTACCAATGTGGCATGAAAAGTATCATTACTTTATACACCTCCACGCTACAATCCACATTTGGGCAAATTTAAATGCTGGAAAGCACTTTTTTTGCTTATGGTTAGGCATTTACTAATTTTCTTTTTCAGTTTTAAACCATGAGAAGCTAATGACTTCCACTCTTCTTTTTTGTCAGGATACGGGCCAAGGAAAACAATGAACCCCRTTACTGATTGGCAAAATTGAATCCCTCACAAAAATAGGTTCCTCTGAGACCTTCAGCTTACCCTTTATTTTGTAAAATACAGAAATAGTGCTTCTCAAACCTGATTTTTTCCCCTCATTCAATTCAGCCAGAAGACAGAATGAACAAGAAATCAGGCTCAATGGGGCATTTAGACTGMACTTGATATTTAATGCATTTTCTGCAACACTTTCTGCGGGATCTCAGCAAACCCATCCAGATTCCAACAAGTGACCCTTCAGGCTGGGACTCTGGTGAACACTTTCAACGCCCCCATGCATAAACTTACTTTTCTGTCATTGGGCTCCACATTTTCACCTTCATAGTCACCCTTTAAAAAGAGAGAAAATCTGCGTCATCCAGCGGGCTGTGCCAAGAGCTGCTCCGCATCCTGCACACCCACMTCTCCCACTCACTTAATGCATCAAAACCCCAAAAAAGCAATCTGTAAAAATAATGCTGTATTTTAGGAGCCCATTCATCACGGCACACTTTGTCTTCTGTCGGCGGGCACATTAGGGAAGAGCAATCGTGTCTGTCAYGGGGGAAAAGGAATGAATAAGTGATAAAGGTGGCCTAAAAATGTCAAGGGGAAGGATGCGGTATTGCCGTGGCATTTGGGGCTCGGCTCAGTCCACTGGGGAGAGGAGGAACCAGCTGGGAGAGCTGATCCCCCTCCAGCCTCTCCAAACACTCATGGCTGATTAGATTGGAAGTTTTGATTTGGACCTGTTTTCTGATGTGATAAAGGAGTAAATGAAGACAATAAATAACTTATATCAGTTATGAAATAACAAGATTATAAGCAGCTGTCTGAAGATGCGAGGCATGAACGTGAAGAGGAGTTTATTTAACTTTCCCTCTCAATTTCTGAACGGCACTGCTGGGGTTTGAGAGCCAGAAAAAGAGGCTGCTTTGCTCTTGGGTGCTCCAGGATAAAGCTCTCACAGTCCCATGTGAAACCAATRTGTGTGTGGGGAGCAGAAAGCCAGGAAGATGCTCCATCCTCACATCCCTGCTGGAAAACTGGCCCCGCGCTCGACAGTCCTCGGCCACTGGCATGGGCAGTGTGTCAGGAGAAAGCAGCACGGCTGGCACCACCCCATGGCATCTGCCAGGCTTTTCTGGAAGCTTTAGAGCGCGGGTTTGTCAGGGCCAGCTGTGCCCTGCAGCTCTGCACCAGAAGGACCCTGGCTGTGAGCACCTCTGACAGGACGGGGGTCCCCAGCTCGGCCGGGAGCACCACCAGAATTCCTGAGCTCTCGCTGACCCTCTCGGTGAACACCACGCTCTGGGCATCTCCCTGAGCTGCTCAGAAGYGGATTTCATCAGGAAGAAGGTCTGYAGTCACATCCAGCCCTGTGGAATACTCTATTTCAGATTCTTGCTTGATTTGCCCTGGTGACATGGACAGWCGGCTGCTGACACCTCTGCAGGGAGATGTGGACAAGGGATGCAGCTCCTTGGTGCCCTGGGAAGGAATGTGCCAGGGATCTGGGCAGCAGAAGGTCAGGAAACAACAGAAGCATTTAATTTGCTAAAAGACTGAAAGAACTCTCCTAAGGTTATGTTCAAATTTACGATCATCAGACGCAGAGCAGAGGTGAGGAATTCCTGAAAAGCGAGCTGAGGGTCAGAAACAACCTGCAGAAGTCACTGCAGTCGTGACATGAGTGAGAGCAAAGTCAGCCACATTTGGGATGATGCCACCAGCACGTCACACACGAGGGATTTCTTGGTGACAGATAACAGACACGTAAAATGCACTGCGGGATCACTTACGTCATGCAGAGGATATGCAGCGCTGTAAACTCCATTGGCAAGCAGGCTGGTGATCCCTTGAAAAATAAAGACATAATAGTTATTTATAATTTCGAGATYAGACAGCCTCACTTCATCATCTTTCCTGGAGATTTCCCTCCAAATAACAGCCACTTGATCGGATAATGATTTTTTCTGCCACCTCATTCCTTCCCATGTTGTTTCATTTTTAATCATATAGGTTATTACACATGACTCATTTTATGAAATGGAAAACTGCAGAGAGCAAGAGGAAGTCATATATATTTGAGAATCAAGGATTAGAAGCCAATGACTTGAAACTAGTCATTAAAATAAATCACATTTTCTGAAAAGTGAGTTTGATTTAAAGGCAAGCCTGAAGATTTGAAAAGTGTAGCAGAAGGCTGGATCACAAGGAGAATATGGCTGGAATTGATGGCATAGGAGAACATACACCCACACCCATCACCCACGCAAAGTTTTGAATTCAGGGCTCAGATTGATCAGAGAAATTGTAGGGAAAGCCTTTGCGAAGACCTTGGCGTGATACTTACCATATTTACCACATTTTCGTCTTTTATTTAAAAGGGCAGTTTCCTTCTTTCTTCCCTCTCCTTTCCCTGTTTACACAGCCGTTCATTAGTGACATGCATGAGGCTGAGAGCAATTAGCGCTTCATCTATTAATTGTCAGTGGCACGAGGGACTGGAGGAGCTCTGCCCTTCCCAGGGGGTGTCGATCCCTAACCAGGGCCAGAGGGAGGAGWGGGTGTGGAAGTTTGGGGGAGTACAGCACCATTCCCAAACGTGGCTGTACCAGCACCTTGGAATTTAATGCAGCTCATTAATTCCCTAATGTTCTTAATTTCCAGCAGCTGCTGGCTTTAATAGAGCAACTTCCAATTCTGTTCTGGAGATATCGTGTCACCCGTGAATGGACATTTGGGGATGGAATGAACCAGCTCTGGATGCTGAGTCAGAGCTAAGCCAAGCACGTGTCTTTGTGCAGGGCAGCAGTGATTAATGACAACTGAAAAAAAAGAAAAAAATATAAATCTGGCCAGTGGCATTGGGGAAGATTTGAAAGGACTTAAAAAAAGAAAAGAAAAATGAGGTGCTACAGTGTGCTCCATGCTGCCCGTCAGTTCATGGCTAAGAAAAGAGTGTGGGACTGGATCTGAAGGGACAGTGGTTATGAACCAGCAGCCAGCTCACTGCAGACTCATTTTTGATTGCTCTTGAAACGAGGATTTTTCAAGTTCATTAACGTTTTCGAGATTCTAATCACCTGCTGGAGGAGCAGCTCCAAGAGAGCTCAGTACCTTGTGGTGTCATTAATTTTCAAAGCGCTATTTAAGATTATACAGGTCTATGAAYTGTCTGCAAATGTTTCCACACTCCTGGCAGAAACAACTGGTGAGCAGAYAAATTAGTTCTCTAGAGCTGTGAGAAAAGAGCTACACAGTCCCCTTCCACATACCTGGCTYTAACAGTGAAGCCAGATTCACATTTTCACCAATTTTCCTGAGGAATAACAAAGGCTRCAGTGTTCCCCTGGGCAGCAGCGCTGCCTTTTCCTGCTGGCAGCAGYGCTGCAGCATTATCTGTGTTTGTTTAAATCTGTTTGCCACCTCTGCTGGGCTGTAACCCAGCATTCCAGCAGGGAACACAAAGGAGCTGATTGAGTCGTGCAGGGCGTCCCACAGCTGGGCTGGCATGATGGCATTTTGATTAGGAAAATTGCGTGGCCTTGCCAGTCTCAGGTGGAAGAACCATCCAGGAATTCTAATGCTCCATCCACTAGCATCTTCCCTATTCAATTAATCCCTACTGTGTTTCCCATTTCTGGCCAAAAAAAAAAAAGGAAAAAAAAAATCAACTGAGAAACCAACCCAAGGCACGAATTCAAACTGAGCTGYGTGACCTTCCCCTTTCAAGAGTCCAAAGACGTAATTTCCAGTGAAAATGATCCAGCACCAGAGTGGAAAAGGGTCCTGAAAGTCACAGAATAACTTGGATTTCCCATGCCACGGAGAACAGCACTTCTGTTAATACTGGCTGGACACCAAATTTTAGTGTATATAAGGAGTCAACMATCGTGCATTGTATCTTGTTACTTCACCACAAAAGTCAAAGCAGGGGAATAATTTGTGGCGTCATTGTTCCACTATTATTTGATGTCTTTCTGAGCAGCTGATGGGTCAATATTGAACAGAACTACCTGTAATTCAAGTTCCCATTGTTTTATTGAACTGCTTGTAGGCAAATACACGCTATAACAAATTTCAACAGTTACCAAACATTTTCTTCCACGTTCATGTGCTTTTCACATTTTGTTTGGGAATTCACCCTGCCACTTCATTTGTTTWGATTTACCATTAACTCTTTGTTAACTTTGTTCCCACAGCCAAGTGGATATCTGTATATCATGATATGTATAAAATATRTATGAAATGTATAAAATAAAGTATATAACAGCTGAGCAACTGAGCAARCTGCCAACAAATCTTTCAGGTGACCTGATTTGAAATTCATCTTTATCGTGGGTTGAATTCTTGCAGCACAAACCCTAAGGCTGAAATCCTGAAACTCTTGGCTGTGGCAGTACAAATTCCACATCTCCTGCCTTGTCAGCACTGCTGTGAGAGCTGAGATGCCCTGTTCCAGAGTGAGCCTCAGTCCCTGGCTGCTCCGTGGGCTCAMCTCAGCTCCACTCAAGACAGGAATCAGTCAACACCATTTGACTCAAATCACTGGGAAACCATCCCATCATAAAATGCAGGGTTCCTGCTTGAAGGGAATGGGCCAAACCATGGATTTTCATCGCAGTTATTGGAATTCATGGAAATACCCTCGTCCACTTCAGGGAGTGTGGAACACAGAGCATGTCTCACCTGCTGGTTTGTGTCACYGTCCAGCCCTGCTGCAAAAGCCCTAAGTCACAGCTGCAGGGTTTACATGTCACCTACTATTTCATTTAGAGTYGAATCTATAAACTCACATTTGAAAAAATGTCAAACAGCCACATGAATTAAATTAAATTTCCAAATAAAACAATTACATCTACCTACATCAAATYGGCAGGGGAAAAAAACCCGAACTCCACAGCCGTTTACAAAATGCAATTATTTTCAATACTTCAAAAAAGATATTGATCTCAAAGCTAAATAAAGTTCCTTACCCATGCTATATTTTGCTTTGGTACACGTCGTTCTTTTCAGTATTTCATAAACCTACAGGAGCAAAAGAAAAGAGAGGAAAGGGTTACTTCAGACAGCGCCAGTGAAAAGCACAATCTTTTTGTGTACTGCTCAAATATTGGCCGAACCAAGATGMGGATGAAGTCATCATTCTTTAATAAAAGTCATGGTATTCAGGAGAGCAGGGCTCGGAGCTCTCCGTTCTGCACCTCCTGCTCAGGAGAGAAAAGCTTAACTAAATAGTCAGAGAATTGATGGGGTGACATCCAGCCCTGGCACAGCAGAAACGCTGCTTCTGCTCCTGTTAGGCATTGATCAGAGCTCAGGGGTGTTCTCCCAGCCCGAGAGAACACACATTCTCTCTTTCCTCGCCTCCCCTGGCTCCGTCCCAGGAACTGAAGCCGCGCTCCGGCCTCGCGTACGCGACACGCAGCAGTTTATCAAACCGACCCAACACGGGCTGACCTTAACATCCCTTAACCTGCCTGACCTCGGGGGCAAAGCACACGTATTTATTTTGGGATTTATTGCATTTATTGTGGAATGACCTTTGCACAGCTCAGCAGGCTGCCCGCAAGGCTCGGCTTTCGGCCACTCCCGTGCAGGGATGCTCTTGCTGGGCACAGGAAAAGCTGGAGAGAAGGCAGCTCCTGCCCACTGCSYGGCCTCTCTGGGGAGCTGGGGACTGTTTCCCATCTCCCTAAGCCCTGTGCTAACTTCACTCTTGCCCAATTCTTGCAGGAAACAACTGAGGGCACACGGGACAAATCCTGCAGCTCATCCGTCACTTGTCCTGGAACCCCAGCAAGTTCAAGGGCTGTCACAGAGAGATTTTTTAGTTATATAATTTTTTTTTTTTTTTTTTTTTTTTTTTTTTTTTTTTTTTTTTTTTTTAATAACTAAAAGGTCTTTGGCTTAGTTTCTATTCATCAAAGCCTCCCAGGCAGTGACAAGATTCCTGTTCATTTTGCAGCAGGTGGAAGGGTCAATATTTGCACTGTGGTTCAAAAATACATATGAGAAAGGCAGGGGAGAACTTTAAGAAAGAAGAATACAAACAGAAATGCGCACAGAATAAAATGATGCTGGGAAACCTTCAATACATTCTTCATTACTGAGTGATTTACGGGGATTTTACACAAAGCAGCCGAGCACCAGCATTATTGTTATGAGCCCAGTGATCCTTCAGCCATTTAAAAAACCCCATTCCCTCCTCTTCCTCTCAGCCTCTCCTGTGAGCTCCTTTTTCAGTGCATTTTTCAGTCACTCTTGCTCACCCTCTTGTCCCGTGGTACCATTTTGTCTGGCTGCCTTGCTCTCGTGAATTTTAACWCTCCATTTGTTGAGTTSCTTGTACTTACCAGTTTTTTTTTTRCTATAATCTGKACATGCAAAAGAAAGCCTACAAACAAAACCCCAGGATTTTTTTTTACCCCCCAATCTCAAGTTAAATGCTTTATTTGCAAAGAAACCAAATCAATGTTTGCCTTTTTCTTTCCCATTCTGTGCTCCTGCATCTTCCTTCCCATGTCCAGCTCCCCTTGTCCTCACAACCTGTGCCCCAGCTCTATTTCATCTTCTGTAAGTTAGATAAAAGCCATCAACATCCACAATTTTAATACCATTATGGAGCATTTTCCCCCAAATATAACTCCCTATAAATACCCAGCTGTTTCACTGGAATTCCCCAGCATTTTGCAAAAAGAACAATGTGTAGTTACAAAAAGTTAAACGAGTCATGGGTGCAGGCAGCTGGTGGCAGAACCAGTGTTAAAATCTAAATATTCCCAGCTGGTGATATCTCTACTAAGAAAAATAGAAATACTAAAAAGAAGATCCAAATTATTTTCCAACAGGCAGCAACCTGTTAGCATCAAACAGTACTCAGAACTAAATCTGGAAGTGCTTTATTTATCATTTCAGCACCTGCTGGCACAGGGGATCCGTGGAATTTGGTTGAGAAATATAAAATTGAACAGACATTGTACTAATGCTGCTAACACCACAACCACCATCCACCATCAATTATTTACAGGCAGTACTTACTATGGTGCTTCTCGTTTTACTGTCGAAGAAGGAATCTTTGTCAGACAAATCAAATCTGTCAAAASATTAGGAGGAAGCCCATTAGGTTAAAAAAAAAAAAAAGTCAATGATTTCCTGTTCTTGTTGACCCCTTCAATATTTTCATTTCTCCTGGGGGTCTCTTAGAGCTCACATAGAAGAGCATCTTGTAGAAACCTTGTTAAAAAGCAAGTCCCTCCTACCTCTCACCATTTAAAGAGGCTGCTTATTTCACATTTCACGGCTTTTTCAGCATGGGAAAAAGTGTGTTGATGCTCATTATGTTGAATTTTCCCTAAAAATCTTCAATTTTCCCTGTGAGGCCCCTGTTCCTGTCTTGCTCAGCAGAGGACAGGTGGTGCTGCTGGAAAATCCACCTGCAAACGGTGTAGGACCCATCCCTGTCTGCACTCAGGAGCATCATCTGGACMTTCTCTGAGCCCCCAGGAGCCCCCCATGCCCAGCAAACACACAAACACATTTCCTTCGAGCCCAAGGACAGTCAGATGTCACAGTGACAACTCACAACCTCATTAGTGTTTTGCACCTCTGGGTGAAACATCAAAAACCCCGACTGTGCTGGGATGAGCTCCTGCCCTGGGACTGTCACCCGTTCCAGCTGGCACACCCCTAAACACAGCCTTCAAAGTGACTSCTCTGGGATGCTGGCCAAGGCAAAACAGCAGCAGAGCAATCCAGACTCTGCCCCRTGGCTTTTTCCCTGCACCCACATTTACAGCTGTCCTTGCTGATCTGGGACCGATGGCAAAGCCACCTCACTGCACTTCAAAGGCAAGGCCTGGCTGGCACCACCTGTGCTCGCTGCCCACAGCAGATATGTGAAATTATTCTGCAATTGATCAGCCCACATCTCTGGCTATGRGTTTTACCGAGCCTTTTATTTACTGTGGAGAAGAGGCTGTAATAAACCACGTTATAAATCCCCTTCTGGCAGCCTGACAGGTGAAGCGTGTGGCTGTGCAGACGGGCATTCTGTGCCACAACAGCAGCTAAAACACACTGARACTTCTCTGCAAAGACTCATTCCTCACCAGCAAGACAAAAAAAAAATCCCCAAAACAGTAAATTTATTGCAAAATGGAAATATTCTTTGCAGCAGTGCCACCCAAAGTGTTCTGTTCCCTTTCATCCCCTGGTGCCTGAGCTGCTGTCAGAGGGGTTGGAAACTGTGGGCATGGAAATTCAGGGAAAGCTTTCACTTACAGGACATGGACATTCAGGGAAAGCTTTCACTTACAGGACATGGAAATTCAGGGAAAGCTTTCACTTACAGGTGCTGCTTCTCCCTGGAGAAGGGGTAGGACAGGCGTTTCACTGTCTGGGGTTTGTGTTCTGCGACTTTTGGCTGGATGGGCTCCGTTATTTTTTGAATTACAGAATTAATCTTTTTCAGGAGACCATGGGTCTGGTTGATCTGATACATCTGAGGGGAAAAGAGAAAAAAAAACCAGTAACACCTTCCTACTTTTTGGTTGGAATGATCAGTAAGGAATAAACAAACAATTAAGGAAATATATCACAATAAACTACCAAGGAGTATGATTTACCTTCTTGAAATCATCCAGAAAGAAAGGAATGGGAGAGCCAAAGTCCCAAGGGTTAGGGACCCACAGGATCACAACAGACTTTATCTAATTGCATTTCTGATTAAAATCCCTGCTAAGTGAGGCAATAATGGGGATTAATACAAAATCCAAACCCAAAGTGTGGTTTTAGTGCTGTAATAAATGGTGCTGGGCTTGGAGGCTGTCTCTTGCTCCATTATGGACTTCCCTGTGCAGGCTGAGACACAGACTCAGTGTGTGTTTAAATATTAATCCATCTCTGAGCTGGGCTCACTGAGCAGGTCGCTATCTATCTATCTATCTATCTATCTATCTATCTATCTATCTATCTATCTATCTATCTATCTATCTATCTATCTATCATCTATCTATCATGGGTGATTTAGAATTGATGAAAATACACTGCCATTCCTCTAATGGTATTTCAACTATTCTGAAAGGTAATTTATTATTTTTGTAGCAGAGTGACTGGCTGTATATATGAATAGTCACTAAATGCAGTGAGACAAATTCTTATTCTTATGCTCATTTTTAGCAGTCTTCAGGTGAGAAAAAAATGYCCAAAACACACCCAGAAATTCCATCATCAGTTGCAAGCTCTCCTCTTAAAACACACTGAGGATGAAATCACTCTCAGCATATACAGACAGTTGCAGCAGCCAGAAATTCTYGATTTCCATTCCTCCTTCCACTTTTTCTTTCTGCTGCCCCAAGCAAGTGTGTTTGTGACTTTCATTTTTGGTGCACGTGAGTGAATTGTTTTTAAAAWGCATGTGGAAAGAAAAATCTGCATTTGTAAGGTGCTCTGAGAGGAGCATACACCTAAACTATGCTTTCATGAGGGAAAAGAAAGAAAATCAGGACTCACCTTTTTTGTGGGCATCTTGAGCTTAAGGAATTCTGCCTCTCGACACAAAACATTCCAAGGTGCATGTATTTTTACAAATCCAATCCCGTGGATTTTGGTCTTAAAAAGAAAAAAAAAAAAGCATGAGAAAATGTTACCGATGACAGGAAATTAAGGAACAAACAGTTCATCAAGGCAAACATGATAAATCTCATTTGTTTGAGAGGGTTGGTTTCCAATAACAGGACAATCACTGAACACCTCACCCTGCTGAGCTGCTACAGAAYGTGACCCAAAAAATGCTGCTGCCTCCCAGAACTATTACCACGAGGTTAAACAGATAAAAACTGTTTGGGAAATAAAAGCTAATGGTTGTGGGCACAAACACAAATGTGRAGGAGAGGCATCCAGCCAAAATGCTGTGATTTTATGAGTGTGCTGTAATTGCTGGGGCTGGGAGAGTCCCTGCTGCCTCCTGAGAGCTGCTCACACCTCAGAGGCACAGCCTCAGAATCAAACGGGAATATCTCCATCAAAGCATTAGGATTTGGTAGGAAAAACTCCCCAAAGCAAGGGAGGAGGAGGTAGAAGTCAGTGACAGTATCAGCAGCTTGAGAATTCTCCGAGCTGTGCTCCSAGGGCTGGACAGGGATGTTTGTCCTGGCACTCCCACACCCACCCATGTTTGCTCCCCCTGGAGCAGCCACTCCAGAGGCACTGGACAAATGATATCTGACCAGGAGGCATTCAGCAAACAGGAGAGAAATGAGCTTTAATGAACCTTTCTAACCTTGCTGCTGCACCGACTCGGTTACAAAAACCAGCTCACACACAGCTGTATTCCCACAGAGAGAGAGGACAYRGTTTGGGCTGGAAGGRAGCTYAGAGATYACTCAGTTCCAACACTCCTGCCATGGCCACGCCAGGCTGCCCAAGCCTTGTCCAACCTGGCCTTGCTTTAATCAATTCTTTGTGGACATTGAGGCACTGACCACAGCCCTTTGTGCGTGCCCGTCCAGCCATTTCATTGCAGGG